TAGTTTTCTGTGGCTGCTGTACCAAGTTACCACAAAACTAGTCGCCTAACACAGCACAAAAATAACACTTAAAACAACAAAGCACTGGAGGTCAGAAGTCCAGGGGGGGGGTCTCAAAGGGCTAAAATCAAGGTGTTGGCTTGGCTGTGTCCCTTCTGGAGACCCGAGGGGGGAATCCATTCCTTGCCTTTTCCAGCTTCGAGAGGTTGTTTGCATCCCTTGGCTCCTGGCTAATCATTCTGACCTCTGCTTTCATCGTTAAGTCTCCTTCTCTAGATCTGACCCTTTTCCCTCCCTCTTTTATATGATTTTTTAAAAAATTTATTTATGATTTACATTTGGTTGCATTGGGTCTTTGTTGCTGTGCGCGGGCTTTCTCTAGTTGCAGTGAGCGGGGGTCACTCTTCATTGCGGTGTGCGGGCCTCTCATTGCAGTGGCTTCTCTTGTTGTGGAGCATGGGCTCTAGGTGCGTGGGCTTCAGTAGTTGTGGCACACGGGCTCAGCAGCTGTAGCTCGTGGACTCTAGAGTGCAGGATCAGTAGCTGTGGCACATGGGCTTAGTTGCTCCGCGGCATGTGGGAACTTCCTGGACCAGGGCTCGAACCCATGTCCCCTGCATTGGCAGGTGGATTCTTAACCACTGCACCACAAGGGAAGCCCCTCCCTCCCTCTTTTAAAAGGGCCCTTGTGACTATATTGGGCCCACCTGAACAATCCAGGATACTCTCCCCATCTCAAGATCCTTGACCTAATCACATGTACAATGTCCTTTTGCCATGTAAGGTAGCATATTCATAGGTTCTGAGGATTCAGACTTGAATATCTCCGGGGGCCCAGCATTCTGCCTATCACAGAGATACTGTCTCCATTAGCTTCTATTGAGTCCGCTCCTCCCAGTCCTGCCTCCTGCCTCCTGCTGGGTAGGGGGCTTTCTTAAAACATGTCTGATCTGACTCCCCAGTCACATTTTGTTCTTACAACAGTCCCATTCTGGTCCCTAAGGCATAGTCTGGTCCATTCTAAACTTCCACTTTATATTTTATTAGAAACTCCCTTCCCGCCCCCAGGGCCAGCTAGACAGAGTAGAGAAGTGTGGACTGTTCTTCCTAGCCCTCCCCTGCGTTCACTCCCTGAGGGCTGGGGAAGGGAAGAGAGTGAGGGAACAGGATCAGGTATTCCTTCACCTAACTCCCACCTCAAAGCTGCAATCCTCTTTCTGTTTTTTTTGCAGTGCGCGGGCCTCTCACTGTTGTGGCCTCTCCCGTTGTGGAGCACAGGCTCCGGACGCGCAGGTTCAGCGGCCATGGCTCATGGGCCCAGCCACTCCGCGGCACGTGGGGTCTTCCCAGACCGGGGCACGAACCCCTGTCCCCTGTATCGGCAGGCGGACTCTCAACCACTGCGGCACCAGGGAAGCCCTTTCTGTTGGTTTTAACAACTAGTCCTGCCTGTAGTTTTAAGCTTAGTACAGACAGCCGGTGATCTCAACAGGCCCTACCAAGGAAAGGCTCAAACACTGCCCCTGGCCTGACCTTCTGGCTGACCCCTGCTGGAGGCACCACTCATTATTCTTCCCATGCGCTTCATCATTGACCTACACTGCAGTGTTCCTGGGAAAGCCTGCAGCTGCCAACCTTACCTATGCCGTGGAGGCTGGGGCCACCAGCAGGGACCTATTTCCATACATTTTTAGGAATCAGGATCCTAAGGGAGCTGGTCAGCAAGTCTGGAGAATTTGGTAATGTTCTCAATACTGCTGTCTTCACTGGAATCCCTGCACTACTTAGTCTTCTCAGTGGACAGGAAAACATCTCAGTTGTGTTAACATCTTTAGCAGAGAGTCTGGCACAGCAGGTGCTTTACATTCCATTATGTAATTATGCAACAGCATAAATTAACAAATGAGTACTGAGAGAAATACAGTAAGGGTGCCCACCATCACTGCTTCTCTTCAGCATTGTACTGAAGATCCCAGCTAATGCAATAGGACAAGAAACATGAGGTACAAAGATTGAAAAGGGAAAAGCTAATATTTGCAATCAATGTGATTGTCTACCTAGAAAATCCAAGGGACTCAACAGACTGGCACTGGATACCAACTGTGTGGCAGGCCTTTTCTAGATACTTAATATGAGATGAAGGAGCACCTCTGTTCTCTGAGAGCTCCTATTTAAGTAATTGAGGAGATGAGGCGAACAGTCCTTATGACAGAGTCACCCTGCGGTCCACAGAAAGAATCCAAGAGGTCCATAAACTTGGATGGGAAAAAAATTACATCTTAATTTGCATTAACCTCTAACTTAAATTTAGTACTTCCTTCAGTTATGAATGTAGGTAACAAACCACAGTTGTATTAGCAGCACCCATGATTTTGTAGTCAGTCAAAATCACAGATGTTTCCACGTTACAATATAGTATTTATAGACATCTCAAAATATAACTTACATTACTTCAAAATTACAGTAGTTATTAAACTAGTTCTTATAGTTTAATGTGTTAACAAAGAATTTCATATATTACTTTATCACAGTTAGAAAAATAACTGCATTTCAAGATAACTGGAGTCCTTTGTAAAATGATGTGTTTTCTTTTATGCACTTGAAAACATTACCCTGAGAGGAGGACCCACATTACAAAAGAGATTAGAAATTCCTGCCCTTTTTTTTTTTTTTTTTTGGTACACAGGCCTCTCACTGTTGTGGCCTCTCCCGTTGCAGAGCACAGGCTCCAGACGTGCAGGCTCAGCGGCCATGGCTCATGGGCCCAGCCGCTCCGCAGCACGTGGGATCCTCCCGGACCGGGGCACGAACCCGTGTCCCCTGCGTCGGCTGCCAGACTCTCAACCACCGCGCCACCAGGGAAGCCCGAAACTCCTGCTTTAAATGAAGGCCGTGTTTTCTGGTTTGGGCGATGCTGACACAGTTCTCTTTCACAAGGGAGTCCCTGCCGCACCCCCTATCCTTCACATTTCTTATCAAGCAGTAAGCCCAGCTTGCTCAAGTATGTGTCAGTCATTGTCCCAGAAGCTTTCTGGGTGTCCTGCCTTTTGATGTTAATGGAGCATTTTGGGAAGCTCTAAGCTTTGGGTCTAGGCTGCTTGCGCCCCTGAAGAGCCAAGACAGTGACAGTTCTGGTTTTACCCAGTAGGAAGAGAGAGGGCTTCTCTGCTGGTTTTGGTTCCTTCGCAGTTGACCACTTCCCTTCCTCGGGGAAAAGCCAGGCTCCAGGAGAATGTATGAAAATGGAAAGGAGGAGAGAGAAGTCGATGCGATCTCAGCCAGGGCCGGGGGCAAGGGCTGTTTGGATTTCCCAGAGTTATATCTACCGCCTGGGTCAAGAGATTCCTTTTCCAGCAGGTATGATTCATCTATACCAGTGACAGCCACACAAGGATACCTATGTATGACAGGTGTGGGTACCTACATAAGATAATGTAGCTACATGAAAAGGTCATGACTATCTTTGACCCCCTTCTCTGATACTTGGCTTGAACTTCTGCTTCATAGTTCAGAATCATATGAAAGGGTAGTAAGAACATAGGAGTTGGCATCCAAGAGACTTGGGTTTAAATCCTGCCTCCATCCCTTCCCTTGCTAGCTGGGTGATCTTTCATTAATTTAGTAAATAATTTCTGAATGTCAGCTATGTGCTAGACACAGAATACAGAGGTGAATGAGACAGGTTCCACCTCCTCTCATCAAACTTACTCCTTAGAGGAAGACACAAAGAATAATAGTGGTGGGGATAGAGATGAGGCCCCACCAATGTAGGACAGTTGGGAAAGGCCTCTCTGTGACATTTAAATTAATACTGAAAGCTGATATAGAGCTGACCATAAAGAGAGGGGAAAACCTTCTAAAGGGAGGGAACAGTATGTGCAA